AACGGGGCGTCCTGAGCGAGGCCCATCAGAGGTGCTCACACGACCCTTTTTAAACTCGGAAACCCACTGCTTAACGGTTGAATATGACGGGGAGGATGTCCCCAGTGTTGAGTCCATCTCTTTTTTAATTTCCTTCGGCGTTAACCCCTTCAAATAAAAGTATTTGATGACAGCACGATTTTCCTGCTTTTCCATTTTTACGAAAACCACAGAGGCGTCTTGTTCAGCGTGCTGTCAAACCTACACTAGCAAGGAGATCGGGCTGAAACTATAGCTACAAGCTATCCAAGGATGGTACTATAGAATGTCACCTCAAGGTAGGCCTAGTGGCGTCATCTCTTGGTTAGGCCGGAAACTTATCAATCCACCCTCGTATAATTCAGGAGACTTGGCTGGACTTAAATGGTACAATAAGGGCCGTGCGTAATTTAAGCAACAACTTTAGATAATATATAAATAATAATAATAAATGCACATTATGTTTAATTATTACGCCCATGGTCTTTGTTAAAACTTTGACAATAATATTTTGAATGTGACGCTCATAACTTAACAGCCGCTTCTTCCCACCTTAAAACTTTCTGTATGGTAATCAAAGGAACTAATTAATACAAATAATATAATAAGTAAGCGTTAATAGAACAGAATGTAATGATATAGGAATATTTTATATACTTATGTACCTACCTGTATGTTTTCGCGATCTTCTTGTGTGTGTCTGTCTCAAATTGTATAAATTTATTCGGCCTTCTACTAGATAATGTAGTTTAATTTTGTCCAGAGTTCTTCATTTTCATATCCTTAGAATTTTCTATCAAAAAGCTTTAGGTGTAAATAATCTATTTTCTTATCAATATTGTAAAGAATTCTTCTTGTAGTAGACGAGTCTGATAAGTAGGAACGGTGTTAACTAGATGCGATAGAACAATAGATAATCGCATGGTGAGTAAGGCAGCATTATTAAGGGACGAAAACGTTTGTAAGAAAACCAGACGAAGTTACCATCCGAAGCCGGCCTGGAACATGAATTGGCTATGTATAGATAAATCGCGATAACAACTAAGCAAGTCACCTAGTTGACACTAATCGTTTTCTCTGCGAACGCATTTCCCATAGGTACTTCGAAATTGGGCATTATCAATGCGAATGAAACTACCAATATTAGAAGTGGACTAAACGCCTATCCGCAGAGAAAAAGTTTAGTGGTAGCTAGGGTAAGTCGTTTCTTAGTTTATTTATTTCCTTTCCCCAGTTTCCATTTTCTACGACGGAAGCAAATTACAAGATCGGCAATCCTATATCCTTGTATCTTACATTAATCAATATTTATCGTAAAGTAATTCTTAAAGACATGTCGGTTATATTGACGACCGGCCTCAGGATTGCCTGAGAAGACAGTTTTCTCTCACGATCAGCATATTAAATTATGACTTGAAGTTTTTTAGGTGTCTGCGACACTTTCACTTCAATTGGCAAGTCATGAAATTAAATAAAATTTCGTTACTTTGTTTTCATCATATGCACACTACTGCGTTGACGGAGAAAAGGTTGTAAATTATGATCTTTATAATGAACTGATACTGAAGGCAGTTGCCTAAGTAGTGTACATTACAAGGTCTTTCTAGGTCAGTTTTCATCTGAAGAGGTTAGACCATGCAATACCAAAAGTTTTTATTGAAGACCATCTAGAATTGTCATAAAAAGGGGGTGGAGTCTATTTGAATTTGGGTTTCCCGCGTAAAATTTGAATTTCCCACTTAAAGCTATTGCTTATTAAATTTTATCAAACGAGATATCGCTAGAATACTGAAAAGTCGTTTTTCTATGAAAGCGTGTGTAATTTGCAACTATTGTTTTTATTGTCTATTGAATTTTTCCAATAGTTGTCGCAAGAATGTCGAAAAAATGGAGTGTGGGCAAGGCTAGGTCAGTTTAAACTTAAATTTTCCCTTCAACGGAGAGTTTGGAAATAAAATTCTAAATTAAATAACTTTAACAATGGTTCGTCTCGTTTTATCAGCACTCTACTCATAAAAAGAAAGACAAACCGAAATAATTTATTTTATACATCGTATTACAGTTATATGTACATACATACATAGATATTTATGTTTAATGTTTAATATTTATGGTTACCATATCCGTTGTTAATGTGTTTACTATTTATCATATGCAAGTTTACTTTGGTTAACTGTATATTCATTATGTTTCTTTAAAATAATTACGTTTTGATTAATCTCTACTAATTTGTTGTGAAACAGACATTTAAAATAATCATCAAACGTTATTTCCTTAAGTGTGCTTTTGTTATTCCTTTAGCTTTTTTTACTACGCTGTCTTCTTCTTTTTTATTTAGTTCATTAATTTCTGTTTTAGTACAAAAAAGTTTTATGACATAAATTTTCGATCTGAAACCGATAAACTTCTCAAAAATTTTACCATTATTTTCATCTTTGAATTGGTAAATAAGTAAGTCTACAGTTTAAAATAGTTAATTAATTTTAGATTTAACCTGTTCATCTCGATGATTACCATACTATCGTCAAAAACAGTGTGAAACTGTGACAATTTAGTTGAGACAACAATTGGCTCCATATCTTCCAGACCATTTTGTTACTAATTTTATATCTTTATACATTTTCATTCATTTTCTATTGTTGACGTGATAACGTCTTATAAATCGATGAACGTCAGCTGCACGCACGAAAAAGCATGACTCAATGTCACGTTCCGATAGTGAGGCAGGATCGGCCTAAGCGTTCGGCTTGTGACGAATCTATCTCACAACTGTTACTATTAGTACTAACGAGTGCAAATAAATGTTAATTTATTGAAAAAATTGAAATTATCAATTAACTTCTTCTTTATATTATACAAAATAATGATAGTTCAATGATAATAATTCAATTCAATCCATAATTTTATAAAGAGCCCAAACAGAATCGCGTTCCTGGAATTCCACAAGTTTTTTTAAGATTTGATTTTTAATATTTTTCCTGCACCTTTCTTTTAAATTAGTGTTTAAGCCAATACCGGTATTTTTGGTGGTGAAATGAAATGAAACCATTTTGCGGTTACATGAAATCGCCGTAAAAGATTGCATTTACTTTTAAAGGTTCTTTTTCTAATTTTAATTAAAAATATCTAAATGCCTTATCTAGAAAATCAAATGAATCCTTAATTTTATAGTTTACAACACTACAAGTTCTCANGATTCTAAATCTACCCACTCTAAATTTCTATTGCTTAACCCCTTTGATTTCTTAAGTTAATATCAAGTTGATTTTTAATTTTCTTTTTATAATATTTTAATAATGATAGATTTCTTTCTAACTGCTGTTTATTTTGTTTTTGTGCTTCAAAGATGTTAAAATAAATTTGGTAGAATATGTTAAATGGTTTATTTATTATGGCAGACGACAAGAAACGATAAAATAAAACAGTGATCTTATAGTTAAAAGAGTTGTATGTGAATTAACTCTATTAATAATTAACAAAAGCATTCAATAATAGTCAATAATTCTCAATCCATGCTTAACATTCTGAGAAACAATTTTGATAAAGCTGAGCGCTGCGATAAACAACTCTTAAGGTACATAACACTTAATATCTCAACCTGACAGGTATTATGACTGCGACTGTAAAATCATAAATACAAATGGATGTATATTTCTAACAAAAGTGTTCCTAATCAGTAAAATATTTCTGTTTAAAAATTTAATTTTTCATATTCATCTTTAAACAATAACAACAATAGCTGCAAATTACACACACTTTTACAGAAAACGGATTTTTAGTATTTGAGCGACATCTCATTTGATAAATTTCATATAGCAACAGCTTTAAGTGGGAAATTTAAATTTTACGCGGGAAACTCAAATTCACTTCACCCCTATTTTAGCACAATTCTAGAGGGTCTTCGATAAAAACTTTTGGTATTGTTGACAAAAAGGGCATGGTTTAACCTCTTCAGATGAAAACTGACCTAGAAAGACCTTGTAAAGGTCCAAAATTGGTAATATATTGATGGATAGACCGGCACCCAGATATAGAAACCCGGTAGGTTCACTACCTGCTTAGTAAGCAACTTCAACCGATTGTAGCCTTTAGATCCAAATCAAGACAGCATCAGTCCATGGCGTAGGTGAAAAGAGGATGATGGACACCGGGCGATGCAAATGTGAGGGATGGTAAAAATGCTTTTTTCAGTATTAAATAAATAGAATCAGGTCCACCACACAGTAATGTTAAATGTATCATTTTTTTAGTGTTTGTACCAATTTTTAATATTTAGTACCATGTTACAAGACATTACCGTCATGCGTCAAAAAAAAACAGGATTTTTCTATTAATAAAATCTATTAACTGTCTTGCATCTAATAGTAAAACGGATTTTTTTAGTCAATATAGCAAAAGTTGAAGGTGGAATGGTCGAACCCTAACGGTTTCATTCGTGATAGAAACGAAAGCCATCTTAGTTCCTATATCACGAATATGTAAATCGTAGAATACCTACAATTATAAAAGCTGAAATCGTTATAATCGTACTTGAGTGTTTACGTAACAACAAAGCAAATTTAATTGTTATTTTATTAATTAAATTAGGTTTTTCGGTTTTTTAGTTATTTAGTCACTTATTCTTTCCTTTTATACTTCTTTCCTTCACTATCATTTAGAAATACACATGTTATTCTACACATGTCAATTGTTTTAATGATGGGGCGACGCTATTTTTTCAGAATAATTATTTGAAATTATAAAATCAAAGAATTTGGAAGCAGTGATCAAAAATTCATTCTCATTATACTGTAATTTGAATCTCATTATTATTTATTTTCTTTACATTTTGTTTTCACACAATGCTGGGCTTATTTGCTATTTGCCGCATACACCGTTTCTAAATTTAACGTTTAATACATTTTATGAAATACATTTCATTTTATTGCTAAATGTACATGTAAATATTCATGTTTTATGAACTACGTTTGTTCTTTTTACAGCATTGTACAACAATGAAAGGCTGGTTTGATGCCTTTCGAAGCGATGGAGGACCAACACTTTACAATTTCAATAATCGGACAGCTGTTACCGGCGATGTCACTCTTATATCATTTATCACCATTTTCTGTACGATATATGTAGCTTTTTTAATTATTTACCCTGGAATTAGAAAAGAAGTAAGTAAATTAATAAGTTAGTTTAGTTATACAAATTTTCAATTTACAAATTGATTTTATTTTTTTACAAGCATAATATATGAAAACGTACTTATTATTTCATTTTTTTATTAACTATTGGTTAACTACCGAACGAGATGAAAAAATTACAGCAAAAACACTTATAATAAGACTTATTATAAGGCAATTGAAAAATAAACTTTGATAGACAAAAGCATAATACATTTCTACTAAAAGGTCCAAATGGTTACATAGCATTTAATAAAAACCTTTTCCCATAAACAAATTTAAATATGTATCTAAAATGATCTTCCGGGAAAATCAAAATCTGAATTTAGATATTTGAAACTGTTAAAGAGTTTAAGGAAACTATTTGTAAAATATATTTATTAAATTAATTTAAATAAAATACATTAAAATAACAAATTCAAGGAAATAATAATGAACGGAGTGACTGTATTAGTTAAACTTTATGTAAGGTAGCCGTAATGCAAGAAGAAATATGCGTATGGACTTTTTAACCAATAGTTTGTAAAATTATTTACTTGTATTTTTAAAAAAAATCAAGTCGCCGTTAAGACTTAAATACCGTCACGTGTAAGCAACCCATCACACCGTCACGTTTAGGTAACCTAACATACACAGTAACAAAGAAAAGAAGACCAAATTTTGTAGTTGTCACATTCTGAAACATTCTAGAACAAATCCAGTATGTATAAATAGTTTGGAAGTTTGAGATCAGAAGAGTTAGTTCGTGTTTTAATCGGGACAATCAGGACTTGACACAGCAAGCATTATTGGTGGGGCATATGCTCGTAAAAAGTAAATCATCATCGATACCTGTTGGAATAGCCAACTTGAAAGACTTGAGCAAAAGATCCGCATAGGTAAAGAGTTGGGAGTATTTGAACCAGTAACTGAAATCCATTACTATGACTGGGAAGAAGAACATGAGATGAAACCAACATCTCTTTTTACAACATTAACAGAACAAGTAGAACGGTCATGTAACTACCTCAACAAGCACCAAGTCAAGTAAATACAATAATTTCTTATCCGTCTTCAACACACAACACATTTTCGCCCCCTCACAGATCAAGACTTTGGTAAGACCAACTTAGCATACCATTGCATCAACACCGAAACAATAAGGCCCATCAGCCATCAACCAACCACCTAGAAGAATTTCCTGATTGAAGCAAGAGGAAGTCGACAAGGGATGATTGAACCATTTGTTCTTGTTCTTTCCCTATAGTACTGGTACGTAGGAAAAATAGTTGCTTGGGTTTTTTTAGTGAGTTACAAGAAGCTAAACGATGTAACGCAGAGAAAGTTGCACATTACTTTGAATCGACGATACACTAGACAGTTATTCTCGACTTGAAAAGTAACTACTAGCATGTGGATGTGCATCTGCAGGATCAGGAGAAGGCTGCTTTTACAGCTGAAAATAGTCTATGGAAGTTCATCTTTTGGATTGTGCAATGCATTACAAGAATTAAACTGTAAAATCTGTTTGGCTTATTTAGACATCATCATTGTAATAGGAAGAACCTTCGATCACCACCTCCGAAACATAACTGAAGCCTGCAAAAAATTGGCATATGCAAATTGAACCTACGTCCCAAGAAATGCATGTTGATTGGAATAACACCGGAAGGAATTATGACCAACCGTGGCATAACGGACGAAGTTGATCCATACTAATGGATCGTCACAAACTTTTCTGGGACATTGCTCCTACTACTGAATATTTAAACAAGGATTTACCAAAATAGTCCAACCACTACACGTCCTTACAGAAGATAGACTTTCATTCCAATGGGCACCTGTCAAAAAGCATTTGACAACTTTAAGATTGCATCTTGATATGCCCATTGCTCAGTGAAACCTTCCTCATTGATGCTAACGCTAGGAACAGTACTGAAACACTTTGGAAATAGGAACGAAATTATTGTGTGACCCGTCGAGAGCTACTGGTTGTGGTTATACCCGTCAAACATTTCTACAAGCATTTGTATGGTTCCTTCTTCTTAAGAACGAATCACGCCTCCTTGAAATAGCTACTACAATTTAAGAACCCGGAAGGACACAAAGACATCAGGAATACGAGTTCAACATCGAACATTGCCCAGGCAAACAACACGAATACGCAGATGCACTATCCCGGAGACCTGCAATTATTGTTCATCTGTGGAGAAAGAGGAAGAACTTGTATCAATCTGTTGTAATCTAACCATAATTCAGCCTGAGGAATCCTAAGAAGAAATTAATGGGATGAAAAGATACATGGACCTCAAGACCATTGTGGACAGTTGTGAGCCATCTAAGCCAGGCAACGAAAAGTTATTCGGCCCAATGAAATTCCTTTACCTTTGATCACGGCCTTTTTTGAAAGACATTTTGAAGAGTCCTGATGGAACCAGAAAAAAAGTCCAAGTGGTACTTCTGAGGAAATGAATTTCAGAAGTATTAGAAGCAACCCATGGTAGAGGACATTTAGGTGTTACGAAAACTGTAGAGTAGAGCAAGACTGCAGGAAATGTTTTAAAACATGCGCCGCCAATAAGAGGCTGAAGACGAAAGTGGTGGACGAATGCAGCAGTACAATGTGGAAGCGCCATTTGAGAAAATCGCAATCTACGTAACAGAATTATTTCCAGTAACAGACTCCGGTAACCGGAACCCGTCCTGGTCATCATGGCTTAATTTTTAGCAAGTGGCCCGAAGTCTATACGATACCGAATCAGGAAGCACACACCGTTGCCGAAAAGCTTGTCAGTGATTGGAGTGGCCATATGGAGTACTATTAGAATTGCATTCTGGCCAAATCAGGAACTTTATTGTTTAAGAAGTTTACTGAAATAATAGCCATAACAAAGTTGAGAACTGCGTCCTTGCATCCACAGTCTGTTGGGATAGTTGAACGATTTAACGGTACTCTGAAGACCGACTTAAGAAGCTTTGTCAAAGACCACCAAACTGACCGGGACCAATGTATACCTCTATTCTTCTTGGCTTATAAGTCCGCCGTCCATGAGACAACTGAAAGAACACCGGCCAGCATTTTATTTGGAAGAGAATTGAGGTTGCCAGCGCACGTGATATTTGGTCGTCCCGGAGACTCTCCAGTACCTAAAGACGATTCAATAGGTGAAGTACAAGAACGACTAGGGGTCATTCATAAATGTTGTGCGTACGAAGCTGCGACTCGATTGTTTATAGAATTCAGAAGGGACCTGGTAGATCCTACCAGGACCGGACTGGCTTTTGTAATCGTGGTGGAGGCAGAGAAATGCGACAATCCAACTCCTCATTCAATCAGCTTTGACTTAGCATTTCTTTTTTGTGCATTCTGGGCTCGCGTATTATTTGCTATTTGTTGGGTTAGATTAAGTGTGATTGACGATGTTTATGTTACAATTAGTTTTTTGTTCATTTAACGCTGAAGACTTGTTTGTATGCAGTCAGTTGAACTTTTTTCAGTAGGTCAATGTATCATTGTCATAAATCAGTGTAGAATAATAGTTGTTGCAATAGCGTTTAATACGGCAGAACTTCGTGTCATGATAGTAATTTACTACGAATGTGAACACAATGTCATTATAACGATCGAATTGTACTTCCTTAAAATACTTCAATAGCAGTAAATGTCAACCAGATGCTGATATGTATCATACAAACTCGCTGTTTAGAAGCTTCATCAATCATTAGTTTATTCATGCTTTATGTAAGACTCCGACTGCAACTATTTTATTTGATTGGGTGTTTTTTATAGACTTTTGATTTACTTTCATACCCAGTTCATGTTTCCTTATTTTTATTTCGCGTTTAGGCAGTCGGAGTTTTTGATTTTTTTTAATATAAAATTTCATTCGTTACACACACTACAATGATTTTTCTGTTAAGTGAGTTTATAAGCATTTCATTGTTTGTAATCCCTAGTCGGAAATGCAACAGATTTCTTAGTTCGTATATCTTTTGTTTCAGAGATTTTCAACCTTCTATACAGTAACACTGAATTTATTTGTTGGAGCAACTATTTTAGGTGCGTAAGTATGTAAATAGATTCACATTGAATAATGTTCTTTTAACAGAATTGTGCGTCTTTTAATTTATATACGTTAATCTAAATTCTTGGAAAAAAATTACAGTGATAGTGTGACGCAGTTTTTTTTATGCGGAAAAGGTTGAATCTACTTTGGTACTTTTTTTATCTGATATTTTCACCTCTGACAGTTTGTTTAATTCGCCCTCCATACATTTTGTACCTCTCCGCATTTCTACTCTTCATATGAGCTAATGCATCAACTCACATTTTCTTGTTTATAGTCCTGTGATTACAAAAATATCAAACAATTAGTGCGTGTACACAGAGGAGAGCCTCGCGGTAGTTCCCTACATGGGCGTACCGAGGAGGGTGATAGACCCCAGTGATATTAAACGTAAAGATGTACCAATTTCTTGGTATTTGTATCACTTTCTAATAATTGTATCATCTACCAAGACACTACCGCTTTGGTAGACAAATACCAAAGTTATTGTTCTGATAAGAATCTATAAAAGACAACCGTCTTGTATTTAACCGTAACAACGGGATTTCTTTCATATTCAGTACTAGGTACGAAGATCATTATAGCCCTGAAGCGGCGTAGCACAAAAATGTACGTCATAGAATCCGAAAAAAAAGACTTAACTACTTGATAAAAATACCCGTCTGAAATTTACACATTGCAACTTCTTGTTTAATAGATTCTTTGTACTTTACCACTATTATATTGTTACGCAAAAATACCAAGATTTGTTCTGATAAAGAAATTGTTTTAAAATAGACAATTGTTTTAGCTACTATAGTATATTCTACATTATAAATACAAAATTATGCGAATCAACCGTTCTGTATTTAACCTTAAAAAAGGCATTGGAGAATATGGTCGATATCCATTATTTTTGTGAAGAGAAGTACCTTAGTCTTATATGTTTTCATGCCTGACTGAGAAATTAAAATGGATCAGAAATAATAAAACGATAAACAGATTGTCATTCATTTAAGAGTTTTCAATATATAACTAATAAATAATAATAATTATTATTCAATAAATGTACGTTTTTATGATTGACTATTAGCTGCCCCGACAGACTTCGTTCTGTCAAAAGTTATTGGCTTGTGGCAGTCCAATAGAAAAAATGAATAAATTAATAAGAGAAATGGAAATTCAAAAACAATTAAAAAAATGCCACGCACAGAAGAGGTAATGATGACACGTACGTCAGTAATTTTATATCCTTGATAACACACAAATCCTTTTTTTGTTCGAACTTTATTTTGAGCAGGCATAGATTAATATCCATACAGCCTAATCAACTTGAAAACACTTTAAAGATAATCCTAACGCGTCTTTGTTTTGTTTTTTTGTCAAATGTTTGACAGCTGGAGACAGATATTTTAATTTACTCTGTAGTTTTCCATGATAAAAGAAATGTGAGGTTTTTACATTTTTCTGGGCAATTTTTCCAATTTTTCTCTCCATAAGAACCTTTCTCGGAAAGCAATATTTAGCAAAAAATGCCGGAATTGATCTAGCCGTCCTAAATAAACACAATTATTCGATACTGATATACAGGGAAGAACTAAATACAAATGACAAGAAAAACCGCTGAGACCCTTATTTATATTTTTTGCATATATACGTCTGTCATTTGTAGGTCCAGTAAGAAATCGGGACGTGATAAAATATCTTCAATATTTGCCTAGCCTCATTTGAGCTTTTTCGACCAAGCAAAATGCAAAAAACATAACAAAAATTTTTTTAATTAAACAATAAAAAAAATACCAAAATATTTTGTAATTTGTTATATTAGATATTTAATATTCAATATTTTTACATCTAAAAATATTTTACGTATATGTATAAAATAAATAAANATTGCTGATTTTTTTTTCTAATTTTTGACGAATTTTTATATGTATTATTATAAACAAGGGTTTGAACCGAACCCGAACCGGAACAAAAACCGGAACGAACCGGCTTGTTTTTCCGAACCGTGAACCGGAGTCCGGAACGTTTTTTTTCTGCTGAACCGGAACTCGAACCGAACCGAAACAAATACGTGAACCGGTTTTTGAACCGGTTCAACGGGAATTAAACTTTATTTATAATAAACATTAGAAGAAAAAAATATAAAATTTTAAAAAAGTAAAGATTTCATACATAAATTTTAATACAAGCGGCCCACGGACCGTACGTTACTCATCCCTGGCATAGTTTATTGCCATACCCAAATGGGCCTGCGGCTAATGCTAAGAATATATATACATATACATAAATTTTAATACAAGCGACCCACGGACCGTACGTTACTCATCCCTGGCATAGTTTATTGCCATACCCAAATGGGCCTGCGGCTAATGCTAAGAATTTTATACGCGTTCTGGTAAAAAAAGAATTAGCACTGAAAACAGCTCATACTTTTTTAAGTCGTAGTATAGGACAGTCACGTGGTCTCGACAGATATAATTAAAGAGAAAGAGGACAACCTAAACTAACCATATTTTAACTTTCAAAAGGCACGTAACTTTAAAAAAAGAAAGACGTTTTGCACTACGTTAAACATACCTTACATTTTCTATTTGTACATCGATAATGTAATCGAATGAACAGGTTTTTTAAAAAATAAAATTTATAAAAATTTACCACTAGTGATTCGATACCTCTTTCACACAATATTACTTCCATTTTATTTTGCTTTTACTGTTTATAACGCACAGTTAGTAAAGGAAGAATTAGGTATATATTTCTTTAGTTTTATTTATACTTGCTGAAAACTGAAGGGGTGTGCGGGTAAGATGACTAAATTGCATAATAAAAATTTGTATACTGGGCGCAATCGTTAATAATAATTCATGAGGCCCCGATTTCAGCGGAGCAATCGTGCTTTCCTCAGGGTGCAGATTCCATATTGCTTCTTTTTTGGTTACACTCTATGCCCCTAGTATTGAAACAAATTTAAAAGATTATGTTGAATTTTGTATAATTATTTCAGTGTCCCTATATGGTTCTGGTTGGCATGTAGGTAAGACATCCATAATCAGTACATACAGAGCATTTTCAAGGGAGAAGGTCGCCGCCGATTTGGGTGTTTACATTGGACTTAACCATGTCAATGTTACTTTACAAGGTAAATGGGTTTTAAAGTCAATGCCAATAATTTTACTATATATTTGTAATCGACAGAATGAATGAATTTCGCATTTTATACCACAATTGATTGATTGCATTCGTTAAAGAGTAAACTTATTAAGAATTGCATATTATGCTTATATATTTTTGTTATTTTAGTTAGTTTTTATTACTAATAGTCGCAATAAAGTTTTATGTGTATTATTGTCATAAACCTTAGTAAGTACGTACCTAATGTTAAGTTTAATGTTACCTACGTAAGCAGGAGCATGTATGTATACGTGCATTATGTAATGTTATAATATATTCGTGTGGATTCTCGGCCACATGTGTACAGCCAAAGATCTCGAGTTGAACATAACACACTAATTATTATTTTATTCATGTCTTTGTAAAAAGGCTAGTGTACCTACTACATACTTATTTGGAATTATCAAATTGCAGCCAGAAAATTTTACGGGTTATTTTATTTACCTCTTCTGGGTCTTTTTGAAATAAGTGGCAACTTTTCAGTAGATGATAGGACACCAGTAAATAAAAAATAAAAAGAAAATTAAGTAAATGTTTACAAGTTTGAAAGTTCACCGTTTTCAAGAAAAACGTGGATGAACCTACAGGCATACGTATGTAGGTCACAGAATCGTTGAACCAATTTATAAATGTATATCATCATTAACAATGAGTCATTTAAAAAAAAAATTATAGNGCTGTCTGTCCCTATGTATGCTTAGATCTTTAAAACTACGCAACGGATTTTAATGCGTTCTTTTTTAACAGATAGAGTAATTCAAAAGGAAGGTTTATATGTATAATACATGCATGATATAGTAGAGAAATACTGATAATTCTAGAGGTTTGTAATGTGATGTCGTAAATAAACACATTTTTTTGCGCTTACATTGCAAACGCTGGCTGAACCCTACGAGATAGATCAAGATAATATACTACAGTATTGTACGCCTTAAAAAGGCCTACAAAAAAGTCCCCGATGGTATATGTCAATCTCTTAGGGATAACCCACAATAACCATTTTTTATCCTTTACTTTTTACGAGAAATAATGGCTTATATATGAAGCGATTTTAAGCAATACAGCATTAATCCTTATCAAATTAAGTACTTTTAAATACATTGTGCATTTAATATAGATGAATATGAATACAACATGTAATTTAAATGAATATTTTCGAAGATATTACAGACTTAAAACGCAGGGACATAGCGGTTGCGATGGTACTGGCCGGTTCGTATTGTCTAATGACAAAAAAGCTGTGATTGTTGTATATAAAGACATTCTATAGTATATTTACTATCAGCATTGCAACCGTACGAAGCATAGTGTACAAATAATACCATTAAAGTAATCCCTTAACCCTTATCCCGGTATGTTTGTGTGTTTGAAGAAGTTTCACTTCAGTAGCGTGTTGTATAATTACACGTTGTATTTTTTTTTAATTTAAGGTTATCTGTAGTGGTAAAAATTAATTAATTTTAATGTATTGAAATTAACCTTACAAATATTCTTCTAACTTTCTAATTAAATTGTTATTTAAAAAAATTATTTTAAATTGTTGAAATACATTGCATAAAATAGAAGAATTGCTATTGGTCATTCCAAAATTCGATTGTAATGATTCCCTCAGGAAGCTCACAATCGTGAGCAAAACGTAGGAATTATATAATAATAGTTTTTTGAAATTTGATTTTTAGTGTCAGTTGCCTTAATTGCAAAGATGTGGTTCTTGGTACATGATATACCATCAACCGACAGCAATTAAATCTTGTTTTTAATCATGCTGTGTGAGTGTTACCACATGGTCTCTTAGCTTTTTAATTATTTATATTATTTATTATGTACCTACCCTAATTACTTTTAACTATTTAATATTATTTATTGGTTTACCTTTACTCGTGTTTTGTAATTAGTACCTATAATATTAACAGAATATCATCATATGATAGTTGTTCCATCAATCTGTATTAAAAAAAAATATTGCCGCCTCCTTCTTACCAAAAGTTTATGTGGATTAATTTGTTAGAATTGATTGAAGTTGCGTAAAGTGCTATCAAGCAGAATCAAGTTTTAGGAGCTAATAAATACAAAAGGCATAACAATTAATTAATGTCTCTTAACATGAACAGCATCGCCAGCATCCAACTGGACTTCTGATATAGAATTCAACGAAAGATTCGATTGGAAATCAGCAGATAAACTGGAAAGTAATTTTCGAGAAGCTATAACGCGAGGTCTTCCATTTCCTATTCTCACCGTAGTTGAATACTTTAGTTTAGGCCAAGAGGGCTTATCGTGGGGTGGACAGTACAGAATAGCTGGATATTACGCCACAATTATGCTTTGGTAATAGTTAGTTCCTCATAAAACGTATTGTTATTGTTTATCAAGGCGTAGAATGAAAAATGGTATTATAAAAATAATTAACATGCAGTTAGTATTTTGTATTGGATTAAAATCTGTTACATAGTAATAATTATATCGTCTAAGTAACTATCAGAACATTAATTTAAATATATTAATTATGAAAAAACAATTGATTGCAATCTGTAATATTTATTAAATACTGAAATAATCCAGTAAAAGTTGTATAAAAAAGCAATTTACACATTCCGAAAGGGTTTTCTCATATATTTTTAAGAGGTATGTCAAGCAACTTTTTTTACTAGCAACTTAAAAACTACAAAGTGTTAAATAGGTTGACGCAAAATTTTATGCAGAATCTAATGGCGCAATGAAAGGTACAGTTTCATTTAAAATGAGTCTGTTATTGAGAATGGAAGTTTCGAGAAACGAAGCATGTTTATAAAAGATTTGGAGCGCTATTTTTATAAAACCGGTTCCTGATTATTATTAAATTAATTCTAAAATGTAACAAAAGAGAGAGTTCATTTCAATAAATTAAGTTGCTTGTCGTAGGTTCTAAATAGAGCACCCTAAATATGACAAAATATTTTTTCAATACAAAGACTATTATTTCATACCACATTTATTCGCTACAAGCCGATTCCGCGTTAACGGCTCACCTTAATTCGATAGGGAGTTTTCAATTTTCAAGATCGACTTTTTTCTATCTTAACTTTTAAAAATTGGTATTATAATATTACTATCACTACTACAAGTAGATATTTCGACCTAAATGTATTTAATTATAATACTTATCTTTTAAACTCTAATACTCATTTTAATTTTTCCTGTTAAATCAGTACTTTTAATTTTCAAGGACCTCCTTCACCACATGGTTATTAATGAACATGTTACTAGCTGCAGTCCCCAGGTATGGAGCCATGTTAATGACCATTTGTGGTCTATTACTTATTAGTACAGTTTTTGGGTACATACAGATGTTACCAGAAAACCCTCTAGTGATACATATTGAAGGTAGCACGATAGATTTCCAATTGGGATGGTGTTGTTGGTTAATTTTAGCTGCAGGTAATATTCCGTTGTTTTATTGTATAGAATAATTGCATACATAATTTCAAAACTATGAATTAAGCAAGTGGTTGGTATATAGTCTTAAAAGAAAGAGAGATATTACCTATCAAAAACAGTAAAAACGAAAAAAATTTAAAAAGGACAACTATAACCAAACCAAACTATGGTTGCCTAAAGAATTTTCCTATTTTCTGTTTTTGCTAGGTAATGTCTCCGTTTTTCACTTTATTCAACATTTGGCTATATTCGTTACTAAGTACTCATTATCTTTATGCAAGATAAAATAAACTGAAATTTATTCTACTTTATTACTTTATCCAAATCTTACTATCTTACTAGATATTTTACTCAATAGCTGTGTTTTTTTTTTGATGGTATCAACTTCTTCTGCAGCTTATCTGATAGGTATTTCTAAGTATATTTTATAAAATGCATCGTTTTCCCGTTATTTAAGCTTGAATACTTAGATTTGAGTACTCGCCAAAAAAAAGTATACATTCAATTACCTATAGCTCACTTTGAATTAATATTAAAATGTTTTTTAAGGAAGGAGTTTTTTGTTTTTTTTTTTAGCTTCAATTTTGGTAATGACAACTTTTTTGTAAATTTTTGAGTTATTTATGAAAAACCGCTTTAAAGCATGCATTTTTTTCACGAAAAATCAAAATTGTTGATCTTTAATATAACTCAAAGTATTGATTTATTTGAATAACTCTATATAACAAATTTTGCTTACAATTGGCCCCTCTATCGATTTCTGGGGTTATTTTTCATAAAACAATGTCCATCCCCGAGAAGAGGTGGCATCCACCTCTAGGGTAAAAGCGCAAGTTGGCACTGTGTCACTTTTGTTTCTTGAGGCATACTCTAACTACTCACTCATTTTTAAAGAAAATCGATGGAGGTTCAACGAAATCGGAGGTGAAAACCTTCAGTGACTGTACTAAATGAACTACTTACGTATCTGTAATTCCTTTTTCCATTTTCTTTTTAGGAACGATTTGCTTAATATCTGGTTTGATAATAACAGCAATCGAAATTTTTTATCCTCACAGTTTTTCCACCATTTTGGAAGTGAATTATGATACGCCATACGATCGCCACATTCTAATCGAAGATAGTCATGGAAAACGATTTCAGAAGAAGAGATCAAGCAGCGGAAAATTGGAAGAAACAGAAAATTTCGGTACAAGAATTCTAAGGTGCAGTATAAAAAATACAATAAAAAATTTAACTACATACATATATATTTGTGGATTTTGAATCTATAATTTTTAAAGCTTCTGTAATGTGATAGTTCATATTTCGTGTTGTGATAGGAGATGGAGATAGATCCTCATAAAAAGTAATTCCGTGAAGTTAACTTTTTGTGGGGATATGTAAAAGGAATTGTTTATGATTATAACACCTCTAAAATTCAGAAATGTTGACCAATGTTGCTGAAGACAAAAAAGAAAATACGTTTATTTTTAGAATCATGCGGTCGTCATTTTCAACACTTGCTTTAAGACATTATTATTTGTTGTATTTCCAACAGTTCTTTATTTTCCTCCTTTAAACTACCCCATAAACCATCAGTGCTGTTAATGAAATGTTTTTACTGTGTTCCAGTAGTTTGTTATGTAGGTAATTCTGACCTGTCAATATGTCATAGTTGACTCGATAAATAGTAAATTTGTTGTAATCACATTTCCTTCTGAAAACGTGCATTTTTCATGAAAAGGTCAAGAGTTAGGAAGATTTAATAGTAATCAATAGAGGATTTAATTCTACAACTGCTGTCGACATAAAATGCAAGGGGTTCTATTTAACCTAAACAAGTTATTGCCGTTTAAAGCTTGTATTTATTTAATCATAATTTTTCAACACCCTGTTTACATTAGTCAATTTTTTATAGTGCGATACAATACTTAATCATGCAGCAATTTAAGTTTAGATTTAAAAGCGGTACTACATGTTAAGAATTTAAAAGTTGAAATTGTTACATTTTCACAAAATTCACATTTCAAAATCCTTAAAGTTTGGGTGACATAAACATTAATGCAACTCACTCTTATTTTGGTCATAGAATATATAGGGTGTTCCATTTAAAAAAGTACGTCTTGTACGATAGGGAGTTTTCAATTTTCAAGATCGACTTTNGGCCATGGAAAGGAATATTTACAAATTAAGATAGCAATTGTTTTATGAAATTATATTGTGCTTAAACCTAAAGGTATATATATAATGAAAAATCCATATAAGAAAAAAAATTTAAGCTAACAAAAAAAAATATTTGCATTCCATATACGGGAAATTTCGAGTGAGATGAAAGACCCAATGCGCATTTCAGTAGCTTTATGAATAGCTCGTGTATATATTATAATTTTGTTTTAGTTAAACCATTTCGAAAAGTCTGATATACGTCTATACAGTGTGTTTCTGAAACAAGTAGCAAGCTTGTAGGAGGTGAAGCGCTTTATAAAACAAAAAAATTAAGTAAATGTTTAGTGGTCCGAAAGTTCAACGTGACTGATAAAGAAATATGGTAATTAATTTTTTCTAATGGGAAGATAGGACTATTGGTAAACAACCCTTGAAAAAAATATAACGCACCTTGGCAATGTATCAACAGTGGTTTGGAACATTACCTTACAATTAATGAAATTATAATTACATATCCAGATGATATTAATTTACGTATTAATGGTTTCGTAAAGCTAATTTCTTTTTCATTTTTTATTCAAATTACCACGTCGAGGTATAGTTTAAAAAGTAGTGCATTCTATTAGCGATGAACAAAGTTGTTTAACTAATTTTTATCGTAATATGTGTCCAAACAAACATTATTATATATAATATCTAGTAGTAGTGTGCTGTTTATATTCACTTTATTAATCGTTCCACAACCGGCATGATGTACTTGTTCGGTTATTGTAATTTCTCTGTAGGTTGTTAGGACTGGCTTCAAACTGTAACATTTGGTTTCCTTATAATTTTTTGTCCTTTAAGCACTCTGATTGGCCCATCATGCGATTCCCTATTATGCATCTAGTTAACACTCTCCAAAGCTGAACACCCTGTATATTTGTGGCTGTTCCATTTTTGTTCATACATTCCATCTTTTGATAAAAAATCAATACCCTTTATATATACCGAGTTTATTTTTCAAAACTAATTGTTTACAAAGTTTTGTCAACTGTGCACAGTCAATTGTTAATACTTTTGTATATATAAAAATAATTCATTGTTCAGGAGGTTATCATCAAAAACCCGTGACGATAAAGTTCCTGAGAAGAAAACTGCCGACAACCAAGTTTTTGAAATGGATACTCCTCAATCGCCGTGGATATATCAGATACCTAGAACTACTATGTCTACTCCAAACGTGAGATATCCTGCGTCTTCTAAATCATACACAGAAATATCTTTGCCATATAGTGTACCTGCAAGCAGAGATATTCAAAGGGGAGATTTACCAAGGTACCTATATTTTTCCTCGTTTCATTACTTTATTGTAGTGGAGGTCTCGTAACTATTGAATAACCTGTCAACCATATATAGGAAATCAATTCAGAAAAGTGAATTCTATCTTATATCCAGTAAAAGCCCTCAGTTTTTGAGTTATATGGATCCGTCATGAAAATGGCCGACCAGTTTATTTTTTTGTACAGTAACATCTGTTGACAGATAGACACATTATTTCAGGGATCAAAATAGATTTATAGGGAACTGCTGTTAACGTTAGAACCAAATTTCGTGTTTTTACTACATACAAACCACGCGTTTTTGTTTAACACGTTAATATTTTGATACAAGTTGAAAATGAAATAGTTTAGATAACAATCGATATATGACCTAAACAGATGGGCTATCTTCTCTAAACTCAAGAGAAGAGAAAAAGAGATAGATATGTGTGCATACACGTCATACATTCACGCCGGTATTGAAATTCGTATTCGGTGTAACGAGAAATAATTTTTTAAACGATGTCAACCCGAATTGCTACAGTACAGATACATTGATGATATTTCATCTATAAATAGCCTATACTTTACATTTTCTGTTGAGAATTGAAACAGTTCTAAATGTTGATAAACAATGATGAACTCCTTAAAATATAAGTTTCGTTGTTCTTTCAAGTTTTACAGTAGAACATTTTACAAACTCAAATTCGTGTTCAAATTCCATTCCTTCCCTTTTTACGAAATTAAAAAATAATTAATATTGGCCGAAATATATAGTGTGCCTACTTAAGTTGACAGCATATGGGATAGTTTTTCATAATTAATCTTAAAAAAAAAAGTTGCTCATTATAAAAAGTCCTGTATGGTTTAATACAATAATGACATCACCAGACTTGATAATTTATCAGTCATTATATAAATTTTAGAATAAAATATGAAATTTGTGTAACATTAACGTACCTTTATTAGCGAAAATAGCAGAAACCTTTAAGAAGAACCGAATCAAGAAGTAGTTGTATATATGCAACCATATCTATCAGTTGCTAAAATTATGATTTTGTAAATTTCATTAATACATAATAAAATTCTGCATAAACAGCCTAAACGGAACCAATTCGCATTTTACATTTCTTTTTGTATCTATTAACGGTAATAAGATAATTGTTTAAAAAAACAATGAAATAATGGATAATTTTGTTTTCTCTGAAAAGATAGTTTAAGCGATTAAGATAAGTTACGAATCGATTAAATTGTCAATTTTAAATTTTTAATAATTGTTTTGAATTTTTTAAAAAATTCCGCGAATTTTGAGGCCTCTTTGCCATTAGGCGCGCAGAACTTTTGTTCTATGAGGGATATGAAAAAAAGTCATCAATACTTTTTGTTTTGCAAAATGGCATTCTGAAAAACTTTTATTGAAACTTTTTTTCATATCTTTCATATTTCGCGAGATAATCAAATTTGCAATTGTTTTTGCGGATTTTCTCTCCCCCCCTATGCAGGGCAAATAATTTTCATTTCATCATCATAATTTCGCATTCCTCACGAAATTTCCGATAAAATAACCCGTGTTTCTATAGTTTTCTCCATTGTAAGGTTCTCTTCAGCCATTTCCCTCATTTGACTGGACTATGTAGGTATATTTACTCATATGGGGCAAGACTATGAAAAGATATATAAAATCATAATTTTAGCAATTGATAGATATGGTTGCATAAGTTATATTCACCTATATTTCACACGCTGATCATTGAGTATTATATTACTCGTATGTTCTATGTATTGCATTAAACCTAATGCCTCATCATTTTTTTATATATGTATTATGTATTTTCATTTTTTATGTGTAGAGAAAAGAAAGAATAGTTTTTTAGAGAAGTTACTTTTCATCCTTCTAATAAGGAAGTCGATTGTAATTTCTAGTTTTTAATAAACGTTTTTAAAAACAAAGTTTCAAATTCCCGAAACTTAATTCATATTTGTAACTACTTTTTAATTCTCAACAACTATTTTTTATAAAGGTTGCTGCTATTTTCAAAAATGAAGCTTTTTTACTGTTAGGTACACAAATTTCATGTGTAATGTCAAAACTTGTATATAACTAACAAATTATTAACTCTGATTATGTCATTATGTGTCTGAGACTATGCAGAACCTTTTGTAAAGAGAAACTTTTTTTGTAAGATTAATAATAATAAAGTTTCCCATATACTGCCAACTTAAGTACACACACTATATGAATTTTATTGTAAGAATCTGAAATCCTAAATTAGAACATCGGAAATTTCAAACATTTTTATTGAATATTTCAGGTCATTTGAATTTTCAATTTTTTTAGGCAACAAATTGATTGTTAATCTTGTAATGTACCTACACAGATCGACTTGCGGGGAGACCATGTAGAAAATCTGTATTTTGCTACAGTTTGGTTAATATTTGATTTAAAATTCCACCAAAAAATCATCTTTTAGAATATCACATTTTCAATGGTCGATCCGTTTTTGTCTAGGATGTCGAATCATCAATCTCAGAGTAACGGCGATCGCTCGAGTGCAAGCGTTATCTTCGAACTGCGAATGTGACGTCATTATGCGGAAGAAAACCATTCGAATGGTCGTTTGATTATTTATAATACTCTAGTGATCATTTTCAATTATCAAAATTATTCAATTATGCCCATCTGTAGTATGTGACTAATTGTTATCCGTGGATTCATGAAATGGGCGCTGCCGAAGACAAGGAGATGTTTTACTATCCTAATTTGTTGTTCTTCTGAATAATAAAAATTTAAGTTCTGGTATTTGGGTCATATTTCGGAGAAAAACAAAAATATGGTTTGAAACACATTTTCTTGTATTTGTTGCAGCATTCTTATGTTTGTGTTTTTTTTCTTTTAATTTCAACAGAATATTTTAATTCCAATATAGTTTGTGTGCATTATAACAATATTTTTTTTAGCTGTTATTATTTTTTCTTGCCTCGTTTCATNGAAAAACAAAAATATGGTTTGAAACACATTTTCTTGTATTTGTTGCAGCATTCTTATGTTTGTGTTTTTTTTCTTTTAATTTCAACAGAATATTTTAATTCCAATATAGTTTGTGTGCATTATAACAATATTTTTTTTAGCTGTTATTATTTTTTCTTGCTCTTAATCTGAATGAGAACCATATTACTTAAATGTACCTTAATTGTATTTTTAAAATTTTCGAAAAATTCTCAGCAAGACTATTTAAATAAAGGAAACTGAAATTTTATGCATAGTATTCTTGAAAAGTTTGTAATATAGAACTTGTAAGTAGTTACTGTGCTTAAATTTAACAAAAAAACTTAAATTTTTAAACAACTGCACAATTAGTACACAAATCAGTACTTTTACACAAAAGAAACAAAAATTAAGCGACATTTATTGAAATAACATTTAAGAGGTTTCTTTACACAAAAGAAACAAAAATTAAGCGACATTTGTTGAAATAGCATTTAAGAGGTTTCTAAAGTAGGTATTTAAATATAAAACACCACAAATGGCGGGGTAAACACCATCTGTAGTACGATGCGTAGCTAACCTCAACGTGATAGGTACGTTACCGTAATCGAATAAAATAATTCGAAGTGGTCTGTATTCTGTCGAAACTGCCAGATGCGGATCGCGATTTCGGTCTTTTTGGATCTCATCAGCGCGTCGCACACAGACCAATTTTTACCTGCTGTCTTAACAGTGCGTTTTATAAAATTTAGATTCCAGCGTGTTGGTCATTCTAATACAACTTGTCTTCGAAAATAATAATAGGATAAACATTGATGATACAACTGGATAATGTAACGATATCTTGTTTCTTTGTTTTCCAATACATAATATTACTAAAATAATATTACTATTCATTTTAATAACAAAACCAGTTATACTTTTACGGTCATTACAACTAACTGAAGTAAGTAATTCAATTACTACAGATCAGGTTTTCAATCGAAAAACGAATCCCGGCATTCAGCAAGTAGATATCCACACAAGTGGACCTTGTTGGAGCATACGTAATCCTAAAATGAAGCATCGTGCTACAGATGGCGTTCACTGCGCCATTTGTAGTGTTTACTATGTCACTTGGTCACTCTTTCTTCTTCGCCTTGTATCACCACGTAACTCAAACTCGTACTACTACTATTCCTCGATCTCGCCACAACTATTTATAAATGCTGTCCAATTTCTGGAAAGATCCAGTATATGCCGTCTAGAAACCTGTTCTTTTTCGTCACCATGTATGTTAAGTGGCCTATACGCATGTGACAATACAGTAGCGCGATTACATATTCAAGAATACAATGCAAAAAATAAATTTAAAAAAAATCCTTCCTATGTGATTATGACGCAACTAGTGATTCGAATTTTACAAGAAAGTCCAAATAACTCAATAATCGTGAGACTTATTGCTAACATAAAATCCAATTTAGTAGTTTTGGAGCCCCCATACGCAGTTCTATGTTTTAGAACTTAGATTACTCCACTACTAACGAAACACCTTGGGTATTAAAGGACTAAATTATAACTACTCCATGTTTTATGACTGTTTAAGGTTAACAACCAAAAAGCTCTTCACTGGGATGGAATCATTGGACTAATCTATTAAAGATGATATAATCGTAAGTAATCTCGTTCACTTAGGTCCATTTTCCAAATTTTAAAATAAAATGTACTAATGTTTGAATTGTAACTTTAAGTTATTTTACCACAAATATTAGGCATGAGTAAACAAAGGAAGGAGGCAGATTTTAATTAACAGTTTCTGTGATTTTGATATAGTAACTAGAACAATATAAAATAATGTTTTGCTTTTATGTAAATATTTGTAATACAGTAATATCTGTGTTTATTTTTATCTTCACTATTTTTATTAATAAATATTTGACTTGCACTTTTATTTTCTCTTCTTTTACCAAATAGATATTAAAACTATAAACGCTGCCCCTTATAAATTAAGGCAACTTTAATATTTCCAAACACTTACAGGTATACATTTCTAATTTTAAATAGAGAAATATTAGATAAGTATATTAATTCACATTAAAAAATAGCGCTTTAGTAATTTGAATAATAAAATAATTCTTCACTATTTTCATCTGAATCACCAGTGCTGTGTCAACTAGATACAAAAACAAAGTCGTCGTATTCAATATCTTCAATGTTCATTTTGGAACTGTTAATTTTCTGTCGTTCGGAGTTTTCTGGAAAGAGACCTTCGCAACTACAGCAATTACATCGACAAAATAACACCAGACCTACAAATCAGACATTCTGTGTAATAAAGAAGTTATTGTAGAATCGTCGCAAAATATCTCACCTGAAATTACCCATAGTATGAATCCATGCCAAACTTCAAAAAGTAATATTGAACCCAAAATTATATTTAAGATAACAGATATCACTGCCGTATAAGGTAAAAATCTTCTTTTTACCACATAATATTTACTATCTTCAAGATTATTTTGTGGCATGAAAATCAATATGAAGCTGATTAATACCATAACTTAAACAAAAAGGAACGGTAAATAATATTTGATAATAAAAAAGTTGATAAAAATTTTGTTATATATAATTTGGCAGTTACAAATGAATTAAACTAATTGTTAATATTCATCAATTATCAATTTATCGTCGTATGCAGATGTTACTGCTAACTTTAGACTAAGCTAATACTCTATGTCTAATCGGAATATTTGAAAGGTAGATAACATCTGGAGGCATTGTATAGTGCATTTCGTGATAGCGTCGCAACGTAAGGGGTATAAAAGCTATGTGCAAAAGGTACACTAATTAATGAACTGCCAATAACTAAGAACACTCGCCACATTGGCGGCCGCGTTATCTTCGCAGCGTCAAATGACGAAACACACCTACCTACTCGTGACCTTCCCAGCAGCTGGTATGTAGTAGCAGTCTGCACTTGTCTTCATTGCGGTGGCAGTAAGGGCTTACGGTAAGATCGTTACCCTTATGTTTGGGTATATACTGGGTGGTGCGAAATGGATCATTCTATTTATTTTCCATGTATCTTCTTCTTTCTTAATTATTCCGAAGTACTGATCAGACATGGTCTTCTTATAATTCAACTAAAAACTTTATCAGTAAGTGACAACCAAATCCTGAAGAACGAATTCAACGTGGGCACTTCGTGAGGTGTGTACTTTTTTCTTGAGAAATTGAAATTGAATAGCATAACGGGAAATAATGAGGTACTAAACTGCCTTTTTACATCCGCGCAGCCGGAAAAATTAAGAGAGAAGAACTTACATGAAAAAGAAATAGAATGAGCCATCTCGCACCACTCTGTGATATACATAAACATAAGGGTAATTACCTTACCGAAAGCTCCAATTGCTCCGGAAATGATGACGATGACGCGTATTCGTGTGATACCTCCAGTGTATTCCCACTGTAACGTTTATATAATCGTCACGAGAAATTGTCTTATATACGTACCAGCTATTGCGAAGGTCATGAATAGGTATGTGAGTTTTGTCACTTGCAATAACGAAAGGCGATAAAATAACGCAGCTGCCAACTGGCAAGTGTTCTGAATCATTGACGGCTCGTTAAGTGGGATACTTTTTATGCATACTTTTTACATTCCTTACGTTGTGGTTTTTTCACGAAATGCACTCAACAGTGCCTCTATAGGTTACCTTTCAAATATTTCAGAATACTGATCAGACCTAGTGCATGATTAGTGCAAATATTAATTAGAACAGAATTGCCTATTGAATGGGCAATAAAATATTTGAATCGACAGTTAAACAGTTGGTTCATGATTATGGGCGTTGAGTAAAAAATTAAAAGCATTTAATTTTCTTGAATATATGTAACATATGCATTTCAAGGTCATTTGGTTAGACTGAGGGAGTATAATTACCGGCAAAATATAATCATTACTCAATTTTAGATTTACAATAGTGAACAGTGTAAGTTTTTTGTTTAAATTTATTATTTTATCAACACTATCTATATAGAGTAATTCCGGGAAAGATGGCTAATACTTTTTAAATCAATATGTCTGATATGTTATAACTGAAAATAAAGATGGGTTAGTACGCGTCCAATACTTGTTTATTGAAGTAACGATTACAGTTTTCATATATTTCTCCATATTAAAGGATTTTAGTCCAAACCTTGTCTCGCATGTTCTCGTAGAGCTATGAAAAATAACATAGATATTTAATCCAACATTCGTTTTGTCACAATGTGATAAATGTTCGACAGCCCAGTCTGGTCATTTCTAGTTTCTAGTTAAATTCTATTTCAAAACTGGAATCTGCAGAAGAAGAAAACGTGGTTTAGCTTTCTTTATTTTTGGATTTAGCCTTCGCGTTTGTCAATCTCATAATTACTGCTAACTGCTTAGTTCGTTTCTTAGCTTATTAAGTTCTAGTTGTCGATAGAACTTACAAATGTCATCTCGAACCTTAATAAAGGTTATCGCTCGATTGTCATGGTTTCTTTATGATAATGTTCTGCAACATGTTGGCTGGTGACAAATATTTATTTTCCACGGAAGAAGCTTCAACAGAATTCATCGACGCTTACTAATTGAGTGCTGATAGTCATAAAAAATGCACAATTGTGTATAATTATTGCATTTTTCTCTGCATACTCCAACGTCTCTACCGAAATGCAATGACAGAATGTCCATCCAAAAAAAAAAGGATATCTTTACCGGATGACTTTCGAGGGACTAATAACATTTTTAGCCAGTCTAGAAATATGCCCGTGCCAACACAGGATGCAACAGAAATAAATCTGGAGTTTGCAAGCGGTGGTAGGTAGGATCTATAAAATATGTAAATTATGTAAACGTTTGTATTTCCATAAGTTTACTGTATTAAAGAAATCTCCAGTTGAAAGTACATGCAAATTTAATTCTTTCTCTGATAAAGAAATACGACAATCCAACGCCTAATTCGATCAGCAGGCAATTCAAAAGCTTCAGTGTTGTATTTCTTTTGTATTTCTTGCTCATGTTGCAGCCAACGTCTAGTAGTTATTTCATCTTCTAACGTTTCATCCTTATGTTTAGTAAACTGACGTGCAGTTCAATAAACTATTTCATAAATTCAACATTACTCATTGAAGTAGGTCAGTGTATCACTGTAGAAGAACTGTTACAATGATGTAACATGATACTTATTTACGAGTCCGAATTATATCGCCGCACTACGTGGCTGCTCTCATGTGACAGTGTAGCAAATTTTAATGAAGCAGTTGCTGCATCCTTAAAACTTGCAAGGAGTATAAGTATTACGACAAAAAGAAACAGATATTTTTGTTTGTGTTCATCGATATTACCTGCTTGTATAGCAGTACAGGTAGTTGACATCATAATGAAGAAATTAAATAATAATACAGAAATTGGTTATTATAAATGATGGACCCATTTTTAAAAATTCGTATTTATTAAAGTACAAATCTTTATGCCAATGAAAAGAGATTTAAAGAGTTTAATACTCGGTTATTGTTCCAGAAGCGACCGGTGGAATTCGCGCGGTAATAGGCCGCCATTTCGTTTCACTGTCAATGTGAGTAAGATGGCTACTGTGGAGCACAAGGTTTTCTTCGTTCTTAAGTTCGCAAAAAGTGAGTTGCAAACTGTAGTGCAGCGGGAATTTTGTACCAAATTCGTCATTGAACCACCCTAGAAAAAGCATTAGCCGATGGTTTAAGCAATTTCAGTGTACAAGCTCTATCGATTACAACTTGTGCAGGCTCTCAAGCCTAATGACAAAGAGAAGCGCATAAACAAAGCTGCATTTGAGTTCATGATGTAATTATCCTATATAGGACTCTAAACGTATTTCATTACTATCATAATCTCTGAGTTAACTAATATTACTTTTAGAATAGTGTTTTCAGTTCGGTTTTTATTCGTTCCTACTTGCAAGTTTCTTCAAGAATAAAAATACGAAATTAGATTGTGAGATGGAAGAGAATGGTTAAAATTATCAACCCTGAGGAACAAAATTTTCGTTAGTATGGTAGGCAGGTAGGTACATCAGTTAATTTCTACAGAAATGATTTCAAAACGTAGAACTTCCAAGTTTCTTCACGCATTTAGATGTAGGCATGTATATAAAATGTCACAATATCATCCTTAATTACAGGGATAATGTTGAGTAGTTACTAAGTGGATATCACGCCTAAGGCAAAATAATATTGTTACGTTAATTGCTTGTTCTTTGATAGGTACCAATCAAAACTTTGTTCTTAATTTTGGGAACTTACAGTAATTGGAAGGCGTGTCATAAACGCTTTCTGTTCTATTTTATGTATTACTGAAGTCTAAGTGTTAGTTTATCAAAATCATTTAGGAATACTTTGCCACCTGTTACCGGCGAGTTTCAGCAACTTGTGAGAAAGTTACAAAAGAAGTTACTACAATACAATCCACTCAATCATTTTCGTATATACTTGTCAGACAATTGACGCTCTACTAATGATTTTTTTCGGCTGAAAAAATAAGAGCGAAAAATTAAATAGTATTTATCTTGATTCTGTCTACTCACAGATCAGGTGAAATTTAACACTATGCAATCTCTGCTCAATTTATTGAACACACCCTAAACCTACTGGTTTTAGTAATAGATTCAATTCACGCATTAAGTAGTTGAACTAGACTAGATTGATCACACACTATCAGACGAGGGAAAGGTTTGGTAATAAGGGGGAAAGAAACTTTTAGGCGTTTCATTTTCACCACCTACCAATGTTAGTAGGCGGACAGTCCCTCCGGATAACGTTGGAGGGCAGGGCGGAAAGCCCTTCTTTTTAGGAATCGTAGGCATGGATGGTGGGTGTTTGGGATGAGAAAGATGAGACGAACGAAATGAAGAAGAAGAAGAAAGTAGAAGATTATTCGTTGAATATTACTACCCCAGAATTCACTTCCTAAATGATGCAAAGAAACCACTGAAAAACTTGGACCAAAGCAGACGGACCTGGAATTGATTCGGTATCATTGTCATGTCTAAGCCTCAAGGTCATGCCACCCGGTCGTTATAAAGGTGTGTGTGCACCTTCTATTATACTGTCTACCACTTATTATAATGCGGAAGCTCATTTGACATAAGTACAACTGAGAAGATCTGGGAGATACTAAAACGTTAAAGGTACTTTCATTTTCACTATTTCACATATTTATTAGGTGAAATTGTGTTACAGTGTCAATAAATACCTATGTATACAGTCAAAACCGTTTACTACGACATCGTTTAGAACAACATACCGGTTATATTGACCAAAATCATAGGTCCCGGCTTAATTCTGTTAGACCGCCTTATAAAAAACACTGGTTTTTACGACATTGCTTATTACGACATATTACACGTAACAAGAGTAAC